TTAGCACTGTGTGTGTGTGTGTGTTGTTTTTTTCTAGTTTACTCATTTTCCTCTTGTTTCGCCTTTTATTTTTGTTTCATATCCTCTGAGGCTATTTTTTCTCCTATTCTCCTTATTTCCCAATATTTTTTTTTTCTCAACTTCTACTTTTGTCAAATCCCACATTTCTCCCATTATCTACGTTTGTCTTATTTTCCACTTTTACCTTGTTCATAATTTACATTTTTTGCCTCATCTCCTTTTCCATTTTCACCTGATTCTCCCTTTCTACCTTTATAGAAACCACAATTCCCCTTCTCTCATGCTCCTCCCTTTCTCCCTTCATCAAAACTTACATTTCCTCCTTTTCCAAATTCCCCCTTCTACCTCTATCAGAGCTCGCGCTTTCCTTTCTTTATATGTCCCATCTTTATTCCCTTACTACCCTTCCTCTCTCTTTCGCTAATCCGACGAACGTATCTCAGCAACAACAGACTGAAGATTTCCGCCAAGAAAACGTCACTCTCGGCGCCCAGCTTTTCGACGTGCAGCAGTCAGTCACACGGGCACAGGTTGGTTGTTTTTCTTTGTCGTTTATTAGTGTCGGTAAATAGCAACTTTGGAGCATGTTTTTAGGGAAGAGTATTTAATTCCTTATTTCAATTTTATTTAAAAGATTGATTCCCTGATTGACTCACTTTACAACAAGTTTTCGTGGCAAGTGTTTATTCTTTAATTTATGGATTGATGGAACTGACCGACTTATTATAATCCAATGTAAATATAACGAATCTTTTTAATGGCTAGAAATCTCAACCGACTAGAAATGCCTACCAAAAATAAAGATTACCCAATAAACCAACAAAAACAGCAATAATTAGATAACAGAGGATAATAATCATAAATAGTAAATAATCCATTTGCACCTTGCTGTACACGGTTCTCGGTTATCATCCCAGGTAAACCTCGACAAGATAAAGAGCGAGAGGAAACGCATCAGACAGGCGAGACAGACGGCCCAGGAGACTCTGCAACACGCCAAGGAGGAGGAGAAGTCGGTGGTGGACGCACTCAACCAGGCGAAGAAACATGGTAGGTGAGAGGATAAGAGAGAGAAGGAGTGAATGAGTGGGCGAGAGTGGGGTACGGAGAGAGAGAGAGAGAGAGAGAGAGAGAGAGAGAGAGAGAGAGAGAGAGAGAGAGAGAGAGAGAGAGAGAGAGAGAGAGAGAGAGAGAGAAAGAGGGAGAGAGGAAGAGAGAGAGAGAGAGAGAGGGAGAGAGAGAGGGAGAGAGAGAGAGAGAGAGAGAGAGAGAGAGAGAGAGAGAGAGAGAGAGAGAGAGAGAGAGAGAGAGAGAGAGAGAGAGAGAGAGAGAGAGAGAAAGAGAATGAGAGAGAGAGACAGGCAGGCAGGCAGATAGACAGACAGACAGATAGATAGACGGAGACAGACAGAGACAAAGATAGAAAGAGGTGAGAACGAGCGAGAATGAGAAAAAAACGTGTGTTACAACTTCCCTTAGAACCATCGTTGCCATAACAACCTCTCCCTCCCTAGAAATAACCCTACACCAAGAGGTCAGTCGCATGGGGTCACGAGTAGCGGTCCTGCAGGCGGCGAGAGCACAGAGCGATGGCGACGTGACCACCCTCACCCGCGCACTCCACAACACTGCCTGGGATCGCGCCAACCTCGAGAAGGACAAGATGTCGCAGGTAAGATACAGGATCTATATTTATTTTTATCATTTTGGAGTACATACGAAAAAAAACAGAGAATTTCGAATTCATAAAATGTTCCAATGATTTTCAGGACCTGTTTGTGGAACGCCTAACTGCAGCGCTGGAAAGGGAGAAGGTAACGTTGAAGACCTTGCGAGAAGCCATTCAGGAGGAGAAGGAAGTGACGAAGGCGCTCGACGCAAGAGCCAGGCTGCAGCAAGAAGAACTGGAGCAACTCGGTGAGACAAAATTAGGAATGTTCATGGCATTTACTTAGAGGATACCAATGCAAGCTTAAAAAAAAAAAAAAAGTAATATCGTCAGTCCACTTTATCAGAGCAAAAATAAAAGTTAAACGAAATTTGTCTACAGATTACGGATTTGAACAATGAAACAAAAAAATGGTTACTTTCTGGACAATCAACCGAAAACTTGTTATAACGAATAGGAATATTGATTGCCTACTGAATTTTGGTTATGTATTCATAGTACAAAAAGCAGTTCGAATAACTTGTGTGTGGCTGTGGGTATTTCTTCTTTTCACTGGACATGCCTTATTATACGCCATTTCTTCCCACTTAATATTTTCATTGTCTTTTAAACATAAATAAAGAGGTAAAAATAAATGTAAATATATGTGAAGGAAGAAAGAGAGAGAGAGAGAGAAAGAGAGAGAGAGAGAGAGAGAGAGAGAGAGAGAGAGAGAGAGAGAGAGAGAGAGAGAGAGAGAGAGAGAGAGAGAGAGAGAGAGAGAGAGAGAGAGAGAGAGAGAGAGAGAGAGAGATGAGGATATAGATAGAGAGAGAGCAGAAAAAGAAGAAAAAGAAAGAAACCAGCCATTAATTCCACGCCCTCCCCATCCCCCGCCAGAGTCCGAGGCTGTAGGTGTGAAGAGAGCTTGGGAGGCTAATGTCCTAGTGTTGCAAAAGCGCTCGGAAGATCACTCTGCTTCCTACCAACACCTGGAGAAGCTTCTGGCCCAACAAGCGGGTTTGAAGGCAGAGGTTGGTCTTGAATATGATTTCCTTTTTTCCTTTTTCCTTTTTCATTCTCAAGGAAGTTATTAAAAAAAGTAAAAAAAAAAATCTCTTTAATTTCTAAGAGTAGATTATATCTTTACCATGTTATTGCAGCTTAAAAATAAGTTGAACTATTTTCTTGCAATCAAGTTTTCGAAGGAAACTTTGTTGAATAATCTGCTTCAACAACTTTGCATATAAAAAGACTATTGTCTGGAGTAAATGAATCTGTCATGCAATGTTTTAATTAACGTTTACCTTACATATTAGATACATCAAATTGCATGTTTTAAAAAAGGTTCAATATACAAAACTATTTTATTTAGGTCTACAATACCAGGAAGGTTGTGAGAGAAGAGCAGATAAGACACGAAAAGGATTCAGCAAGGTAAAGGAGCCTCAAGCTTTTATTTTTTTACCAATTCCTTAGAGGATAGTTTCGTTTATTCTTTATTAGAGCATAGTCTTTGGGCGTTTTGAAAACGTCACAGTACCATTCAAAAAGTAATTTTTTTTCTTTCGTGCATCTCAGTCGTCAAGAATAAGATGTCTGAATTATCTGCATTGCTAGATATTACATTTAATTGTAGCTTGATTATTTTTCTTTAACGATCTTTAGGTATTTTGCTTTAGGTATTTTACTGAATCTTATTAATGATTTCGCCTTTTATTTTCTCACTTTACACAGTTATAAACTAATAATCTTACACGTTTTACACCCACCATCCACCTTATACTTATCATCTTATACGTTATACCACACCCTCTGCTTCCATCATTTCAAGCAGTTCTCCAATTAGCTCTTTTTAACCCTACCCCTTCCCTCTCCGTTCTTTCAAGACTAATAGCACAGGAACGTGACGTCACAAAGAGACGCGAACGTCTAGCTGTGCTACGGGAGGAGGCGCAGCAGATGGCCGAACGACACGAGGGCCTCCTGGGGATTGTGGACCAGCTGGACCAACAATATCAACTGCTGAAGAAGGTTCGTTGTGTGCAGCGGGCTATGATTATTTTGAATTCAAGTTGCGTTTCCGATAGAGTTTGGATAGAATCAGTGAACGGAGAATTGGTAGAAATGCTATTATATATGAGGAAATACTGTTCTCAACTACATAAAAGGGAAGGCCGTTAATACCGAAAATTGATTGACAAGCAAATAACCAAAGAATACAAGCTAGCCATATTCAAGAATTATAATTACCCCCTAAAACAAAATACGAACGAAAGCAAACCACCAAACTTTTCCACTTCAAGAATCAACGGATTCCTTTATCTAGTCATTTATTTATTTATTTATTTATTTTTCAGTATCTTTACTCAATCTGTGTATCTAGTTATCAATCTATCTACCTCTCTATCAAATTATTTATTTTACCATTCACTTTACTCCCCACAGGAAGCATCCGAAGAGGCTCGTCGTCTGGAGCGGGTTTACGGGCGCGTGAAGTCGGCGACCGAGCGATACCGCAAGATGGAGGACCTCGCCCTCGAGAAGATCGGCGAGCACACGGCAGCTTCGAAGGCGGCGCTGAACCTGAGGAAGAGGGTGAAGGAGGCGAGGACGAAGTGCAGGATGCTGGTGAGTTTCGCGAAGGTGAAGTGTTTTAAAGGATACTTGTGATCAAGATATGTAGGGAGGGCTAAGTACTGAATGCTGGTGAGTTTGATGAGTGTATATAGAATGATATAACTGGTTATTGTAGCGAAGAAAAATGTATTGGAGATTATCAGCTGAGGATGATGATGAGTTTGTAAAAGAAAAAAAAAAGAATGCTGTAAATTTTTGTTGTAGCGAAGAAAAATACAGAATTCCGGAAAGTTAATGACACTCAATAAATAACGATTCTAAACATCTTTTCTGTAGGAGGATGACCTTGTCGAGCGGGAGAAATACGCTGCAGATGCGGCTCTGAGGGCTTCTGATGGCCGCGCTGCCGTTCTCGCCCTGACCTCCAGCCGCGACGAAGCCCAGCGTGTCGTGGACCAACTCGATGCTGACGTCGCGAGGTAATTCTCTCTCGTCTCTCCCTTTGGTCCTTTCCTCCCATTTTCGTTTATGTTATCAGTTCCCGTTTTCTGTTTGTCTCGTTATAGTGCTTGCGAATTGTAGCTTTTCTTGTTAAGTGAATCATTATTGTGCAATTTTTATAGGTGATACTCGCATGTCAAAAAATCTATGTAAAACGTCATATACTTATGGACATTTTATCACGTTCCGACAGATTTGAAAGCGACATGAGAAGAGGTCAAGAGAAAATCAGTGCCAACCAGTGTGCAAT